TGTGAAATACATATATATATATATATATATATATTTCACAAGATGATAATATGTGAAAGGTCAAGATATTTGGTTACAAGTGCTACAGAACCAGAAGTGCTACAGGAAGAGGTGAAGGCGAACTGTATAAGCAGCATGTAAGGCTACATCCTTGTACTGTACTGAAACAATGCAACAATAAAGCTGTGTGTTTTCTAATACTCAACATACAGAGTACAACCTTTTCTAAAGAGTACCGGTGAATCCCACTTGCAAATAAGGTTTGAATTACTTAAAGAATCGTCCTGTTACTTGGTTGTAATCATCTGGTTCTATGATAAGAAGTATAAAAATACTGCATGCTATTAAGCTCTTCCTAAGTCAAAATAAATCAAGATAATCTCAGAAGGAAGGTGTTTTTCCTGCACATTTTCACCTTTGACTTTACATTAGTTTATAGTTTCTGTTAGGAAAATCATTTGTGGCTCTGGAGATTGAAGATGATATCTAATTCAGGCAGTTCTTTGTTTACACGACTCTCAGTGATCAACGTGTGCTAGGGAAGCCCAGACCCCCTGCATATGCTGGAGAGTGATATTTGGCATCTTGCCACATCAAGCAATACCAGAGGCTTGCAGGGTTTTACCCTTTGTTTTGCGCAAAATGGCTTCCTGAGGCTGCAGTTTGTAATAACAACCATGAGTCCTGTCTGAGCGATATGACATGGCTGCCTGCCTCATCAGCTACTGGTCCCCAGGGACTGTAACAAATGCAGCACTGTAGCAGATTAAAGATAGTTTTACATGAAAACTAGAACTGAGGGGATAAAGAAAAAAGAGGAAGCCTCTTTGAGTATTCATTTTCACACTCCCTCCCTTTACACTTAGAGTCAGTGAAGTAAAACTGTACTTATGTTACTTAAGTCTGGTGGTTGCGTTTGTTTCAAGTCGGATGCTTTCATTCAGAGAAAGAAAAAAATATTTTAGTATTGTCACTGATAAACAAAGTGCTTCCCTGCATATTGTTTTGCTTAAAGGCTACATAAGATTAAGTAAGGTTTGTGAGGAGAAAAGCGAGAGATGTGAGACAGTGTGTAGTAGTTTTATTGCTTATTTGCTGTTTCTTCTCCACTGCAGTCACAAACATCAGATTAAAAGGGAGAGCTGCCTGTCTATCTCAGCTAAAACAGGTGGGGAAAGAAGTCTCAGAGACAACCGTCAAAGCTTTAAATACTCGATTAAATTTCAAATATTACGCAGTAGCTAATATAATTTGTTTTCCTAAGATAATATTGCTGAAATACTAATCTCTTATAGTGTGCATCTCCATATGATAGTGTTTGTACATCTGGAAACTTAATTATTTTAATTTGAATACATACAATCTAGGTAAAAGTGAAATTTGTCTTGAAATGCATTTCTACTACGTAAATAACCAGCTGCAGCTTAACAAAGATGAGTGCACACTGTACCCTAGACTCTCAAACGGGCCATTACATTAAACTATCTTTTGTCATTTATACCCAGTCCGTTAGTAAGTGTACTGTATGCACTGGGACTGCTGACACAGAGAGGGAGGTCTAATGGTCTGCAGTATTAGTGGGTTAATTGCCATGTCCAGGTCTCCATTGGATTGTAGGCAGGGCATTTCAGTTTAATTGTGAGCCCACCACGAGTGCACTGTAGGAGTAGTGAGTGTTGGTGACGGTCTTCATCATGTCGACCTTCTTTTCACAGCAGACTCAGTAGTAGATTGCCACCTGCTGGAGTTTTAGAAAAATAACTCCTCACTGATGATAACCAAGTCCAAACAAAGGACAGTCATGCTGCTGACTGATGCTAAAAAAAAAAAGTATACAAAAGCACTTATACGTTTTACCACCACAATTGGTATTGGCTCATCGGATGCTAGAATATAAAATCCTCTGTACATTGAATGTATTCTGTGCGCAGGTCAGTGAGGCTGACTGCTGTATACACTAGACGTGCCTGCAATGCTGACAGCACACAGTCCCCCCCTTCCTTTATGGACTCCTCCTTTTGGATGCTAATAAGGCTTAAAGTTAGTTAGCTACTTAGACTGACAGCTGTGCTGACACAAGCAGCTGTAGCTGAAGCTGTCTTGTTGACCTCCCATGCTCTGGACCTCTCCACTGTGCAGGTTGTGGTGGCATGCCTTTGGCCATTTTAAATGGAAATATCTAATATGTTTATGTCTCTATTTTGTGTATGTGCTGCATGCAGCTTGCTAAAAGAACACCTTAGCATTAGCTAATATATTAGCATTCCACTAACATGTCCAAATATTGACGGCTTGTGGCGCCAAAAAATCAACATGGTGGCAAAAACATGCCAAGGTGGCCACCTCCATCGTTTATGCAATCTATGTGTTTTACTTCATTAGGAGAAGTTTACTATTTTGTCACTCCTTTTCTAAAATGGATACATGCAAAGCATTAAAACCATATCAATACAGCACTGCCATGTTTGCATACGTGCATTTTTATACTGTATTCAAATTTTTCTTTTTCTCAGTACCTTCCTTCGTCTTTTTCTTCTTTTTCTTGTCCCTGACAGCAGACACTGCGTTGTTCTGTCAATGATTAACGTGTAAAGTAAAGACAACAACATAATGCATGAGTAGATCCCTGTTCTGGCCCTCTTCCTCAGACTGCACAGGCAATTTACATTTTAATGGCTCAAGCTGCTCCATGTCCCCAGCATCAGAGTGAAAGCTCAGCTGAAATCATGGGTGACTGCTTCCAAATGATTTACCGAGAACAGGAAAAAAAGAAAGGAAGAACGAAAAAAACAACAGGTTCTTATACACATAAGCACAAAAACACAAAATCTTGACATGGTTATAAATCTTCTGGGTTGAAGCACATGTTTATTTTATTAGATACATTTAACCATCATTCAATCAAAATAGAGGATCATAGTCTAAGAATAATCTGACATGATAGAAAAACCACCAGGAATTGCGCAGATTACCACTTTTCAGAAATAAGGTCAAACGTAGATTATATTGAGCAGAAATACTTTATGTCTTTACTGTGTGAGTGATCAAATATACACAGGGAATCAACTTTTTTTTTAGCAGGCATTTCATTTGTTTAACTAGGATATCAAAAAGCCCCAAATATCAGGTAACCCCCTCATGTATTTTAAAAGAAATATAGTCTCATTCCCTCTGATAGTTTAGAATAAACAAAATGCTTGTATTTTAGATATAACTGCATTATACTGTTGTTTACTCATTACTATTGTTGCTACTTATTTAAAGTGGGCTCTTCCTATTTTTTTTGTTAAACAACATAACCGACTCTTCGTATTGCAGTGCAAGTCAGATCTTTTCATTTGAGACTGTCAGATCTGCTACTACTGCTACTCTAGTTGTGGTCCTCACAAAAACCCTCAGAGTGCACAGCCATACTCAGCTATTTGAATGCTAATGAGTAAGACCACATGATCAAAACTGTTCATCTTATTCGTTGGTTCTGGGATCCTTTCTGGCATGTCCCGTTTAAGAAGAAGTTCACAACCCTAACACATCCCATTGCTTTTCCAGTTAACAATAGAAATAGGATTGATGTTAAGCACGGTGGCAACAACAAAGTGCTTATGTTTATTTTATTGTGTCTATTTTATAAATCATATTTAAATTAGTTATTATACATATTTTTCCCTTAGTTGTCCATGCCTCACCTGTGTAACTGGCAATGTATATATGCATTTCTGCAGTGGTCCTGCGGCATTGGGAGCTGTAAAACCCAAACCTCAATGGAAGAGTGAAGCCCTAGGAACAGCTAATAACCTCAGGCCTCTAGTTGGGGTTTTAGGAACACACACACCAGAGATGGGTTGTTTTAATATATACAAATGCTTCATAAGAAGATGTGAAGAGGAAACAAATACACTGTGTGTTATAATTCACTAATATAAGTTGGATGAGAACTACAGCATGCTCATCACAAAGGCTTGTGAGTACCTCATGTGCATGTCTTGTTATCATGCTGCCATCTAGAGGTGCACAAATGTATGGAAACTTTTATATGGAGTTGCCTGTAATACTTCACACAGTATTTTTGCATCAATTTCATGTGAACGCACATGCTTCAGTTGCACAGATAGCTGATAATATCAGTTCTGGTAATTGACGACACATGGCAGCATAAATGCTTATGCTGCAGCTTCTAGTATATGGCCTTATCATCCCGCTGTAGCTGTGGTGAAAATCAGTGGTGCCACACCACTGATTTTCATAACATACTTCATACCGTGTACATTATAACATACCATAATTGACCCATTTCTGTAATATACTTACATATCTATATTATTGCTAATATAGTGCTTCTGGATGGATGCAAACTGCATTTCGTTGCCCTGTACCTGTGCATGTGCAATGACAATAAAGTTGAATTCTATTCTATTCTATTCTATTCACACAATATACATTTTCCATTTGGCCCTTTTTAAAGCTAACATTTTGACTTGTGACATATAATGTTACGTGTCTGCCCTGTTATTATATCAGGTAAGGACTTCTTTATGAGTTTAAAACACGAGTTTAGTCATTAATGAGTCAGTGACAATACTTATGTAACAATTTAATTTATTATTTTGAGAGGATTATAGATAGTTAAAGATGAAGCAGTTTCCTGTATGTGGTCACAGCAGCTGTGATACTGAAAGAAAGATTTGTTAGAACAGAAAGGATTTGCACAAAGGAGATGAGATCTATCTACAAAATTGAACACAGGCAGATGCACCACAACATGACCCCAAGTAAACAACCATCTGTTGCACAGGGATTTATTTTGCACACTGCAGGATTTCAATTGTTTTGTAAAGCAGTGACTCAGTGACATGGATCAGGATGTGAGCCGATTACTGTATGCTGTCACTAGATTTTGAGGATTGTTGTCCTAGGATGCTAATGATGTGGCGCAACTACACTAGGTAACATACACAAATTAGCTAGCTGATGTTTATCCTTTAAGGCAGACTTTACAGTGTGATATGAGAAGAGCGGTATGCATAGCTAATGGTTCCTGAATGAAAACATGTATTTGAGAAATCCTCTGAGGCCGTATGCAGTCAGAACCACACATATGCTCATAGTAATATATCCAGGATCATTTCTTAAATCCCTTAATCATAAACATTAAGATAGAAATGAATCATAAGTGAAAGTAAATGAATCTTGAATGAATCTTTCATGTACCTGTTATTTTCACATGTGATGACTCAGGTTATAGTCAGTCGTGAGGCACTCATATTGGACAGGCAGTCTATTTACAGATAGCAGACTCATACAAAGTGAAGCAAGTAATAATGGCAATTATTTTTTTTCAAAGTCTGTTGGGTGGATGGGGCCTTTGTATCCAACAGAGCTGAACAATCAAAGCCAGATTTCCTCCAATCTCTAATTGCCACTGACTCGAGGCGATAAAAAGGACTCGAAAACATTCAATCACTGACAGTCATCAACAATTTACTTTAGAAAAATATCACCATGATGTCCCACAGATTAACTGATTTGACTGTGGAGAGAAAGACATATTTACAGTAATACACAAAATAGGTAAAATGGGGAGCAAAAAAGAAAAAAAAAGAATATTGGAGTAAAAGATGACTAGTGCAGAGATGGTCCAAAGAAATTTGAGTAATTCTTACTTGTGCTCTAAATGGAACACTCTTAACCTTTTTCATTCATCCTGTACAGATCAGACAAGGCAATCTGCTTAAAAATAATAATAATAATAATAAAAAAAAAACGGGAAATTATTGAGGATGGTACAGCTTGTGACGTGCAAAGCATATATGCTCCTCTTTACAATACAGCTGTTGAATATTACAGCAAATCTCTTTTCTAATAGATGTTATTACCATTCTGATTCAATGTTGTCAAAATGAGCAGTGCGAGCTTAGATGAAAGCAAGTAGTTAGATGATTTATTATAAAGTGTTGGTGATCAGTCCTGGACATTTTATTAAACTGAACATAAGAAAATACAGGCTGCAATGGCAATGATACAATAAAAAAAAAGCCTATGAAATGTTTGTTAGCTGGGCAGCTACGGATTGCCATTACATGTTTTTTTTTTTTTCAAATACCACTGCTAAAGCTTTTACCAAAAAAAAAAAAATGTCTATCATCAGCTTATGGTCATTTTAACGTTTCTTCTGATGAAAGTGAGTAAACAATTGTCACTTATAAACAGTAAAGCGGGGTGCTGATAAAGACAATACTAAAAAGAAGTTTGACAAGTCTGCATATGACATACATAGATGTTATAGCCACACATAAAATTGTTGTTCAATAACAGCACAACATTGTGAACTTCACTGAAATGCAGTGATAGACAAAGCATCTTCAAGGGGATATTTCTTTTTTATTAAGTAGCCTATCTGTAATCCATTATTTAGGTATAGACAAACATGATTTAGGATTTCATTCTCAATATGTTACAAATTTCATGACAGACCTACAATGTCTTTCAAAATTCTCACCAACCAGTGGTTCTTAAGAGAAAAAAAAAATCTTCAGACAAAAAGTGAGTAAGCGGCAGGATCGAGATAAAGTCAAAAACAGATCGTTGAACGGTCGGGGTACTGGAGTAAGATGAGATCTCAGAATCAGAAGGAGACATCACCTCATAGTTGTTCTGCAGAACAGCCAAACTGGACATAATGACAGGATTTAGTATCTAGAATGAGTCTGCCAGTGCTGAAGGAGCAAAGAAGAGAGAATAGAGTCATAGAATTACTATTGTCACAACAGCCTATGCATATATTATGTACCTTGTGTACCTTTTGACTTATGAATCAGCTGGTAACTATACCCTCAAGAAGACTGAGAAAATGTATAAAAACTAAATATCTATTTTAAATGAAAATAGCCATTTATGTAATTCTAGGTTCTTCTCACTACAAAGGTTAAAGTACACTTTATAGCAGCGGTCCCCAACCCCCGGGCCTCGGACCGGTACCGGTCCGTGAGTCGTTTGGTACAGCGAGAGTAGAGGCTCAGGTGTGAAATGTATGGTTTTCAGGGTTTTTATCGGTTTTCAGCGTTATTTTGTTATCGTTTTTACTGTTAACTTGGTTTTCCTGGGTCTTTTCACGTGTGTTATGAATAAATCTTCTTTTTTTCGGTACCAGTACTAGTTTTATTTTGTTGTATTTATCCGCGAC